ATGAACATTTTAATAACAAATGAAGCAATTAAATACTGTTTAAATTTCAAGATGAGGCTGTAACAAATTTTCTTGTGTGCTGACTACTGACGACGTTACAATGCAAATGATTAAAATTTGGGTGTCCAATGAATGGATAGCAGGAGCTACAGTGCTGCGACATAGCCATCCTGTGATGACCATGTCGTGCCGGTTCCGCGTAAGCTAGAGGTGTGGGATTATCAAAATGATGAGACATAATAATTCTTAATACAACTTTTATTAAGATTAACTTATATTACTTAAATTCTAATTTGACAATTTTAATTAAAGTGAGAGTCAAGCCCAAATTAAATCACGTATTCAAGTCAGATCACGCAACTAGATTCTTTATCTCAATTATCATTAATAATCTTATTCATTTAATTACTTATATCCAATATTACCTTTTTCAGTTCTGGTTCCTTTACCTAAAGAGATATATATCTTTCGCTTTATATATGAAGATTCCAACTTCTTTATATAGGATTTCTATTCCTTCTAAAGCTATCAGACCGCTAACTCTTGCTCTGTAAGATTTCACACTAAGCTTTGTCACGCTATCGATCAGAATGATTCCACACTACTATCTCTGAGCCTGCCGCGCTAAATCTAAGCTTGCCACGATATATCTAGGTTTGCCACGCTATCCTATCATCAAAGCTTCTATCCTTTTATAGTAAATCTCATTTGCATAATATCTTTGTTTATCTTCTTGGTATTGGGTTGGAAAAGTTTTGCCATTAATCGTGGCCGTCAAAGAACATAGAAGTTATGTTAATAGAAAGACGCGAGAGACGTCACAGTGCATCGAAACTGCACACTCAGGAGGAGTCTATAAGAAGCGATTTTCAATATGATGGTCAAGATTTCAGTTGCTTTGTTAATTAGGATACCTTTCAACTACTGAAAGAATGCCTCTTCGCCGGATTCGAGCTCATTACGAGCAAATGACAGAGTTTGAAAGATAGAAGGAGAAAGGTTGGGTAAATCGTAGAATCGCTTGTCATATGGGTCAAAG